GCAATTAAGCCAGTTGAATATGCAGACTAACAATCCTAATAGTTTGAGTCCCAGTTCACACCTGGGTGTTTTAATGCTCAAAGCTAAGCGCGACAAAACTCTCAACACACGAAATCCCATTCATTCTTAATTGCCCCTGTTTGCAACTGTTGCAAGCTGTTAAACGCCGAATGCTGGAAAAATGACGGAGCTTTTTCTTTTTGGCAGATTACAGCGTGTTTGGCCCCATCGACTTAAATGGAAACGCCCAGAAAACCTTCTTACTAAAATGCGCATTGTACGTGCATCTAATGCGTGCACAAATGTGCAAAACATGCAGAAATGCACTAAACACGCTAGATGAAACACAAGACAAAACATGCACTAATATGGGCAAAAACGCTGGTGCCTAGTTGTGAATGGAGCCTAATATTGGAAGATGGGCATGTAAGCCAGACTGCAATGAAAAGCGTATGACTCATCAGGCACTGTCTTTCAGCAGCCGTCTCTTACTCCCAGCAGTGATGCACAATTTATTTAATGTAAATATACAACAGGCAGCAACATCATTCTTTAAATAATAATAACAACAACTATTCTGTACTTTAAGTTCATAAATGTGTTAAAGAAAACATTTACAAGGGTTAAGTGTTCATTGTGGTATAAGAGCAAAAATAAGAAAGATATACAAGTTACATAGTTACATAGTATTTGAGGTTAAATAAAGACACAGGTGCATCAAGTTCAACCTATTGTGTGTATGTTTTGCATTCTGCATGTGTAAGCGTGTGTACGAGTCCCCGTGTGATCTTATTTTTTAAGGGTACCTGTACCCCTGTATGTTACGGTCTCTGAGGAAATTGTCCAAATGCATTTTGAATGATTCAACACTCTCAGCTGATACCACTGCTTGTGCCAGAGAGTTCCAGACCCTAACTGCTCTAACTGAAAAGAAGCCCCTACACCCCTTGTGGTTAAATCTTTTCTCCACCAACTTTAGGTGGTGGTCTCTAGTCTTTGTTATGGAGTTTACCTTAAAAAGTTTATTGCTGATGTTGCCATCACCATTGAACATCTTGTACATCTAAATCATGTCTCCCCTTAAATCTCCGCACCTCAGGGGTGAACATATTTAAGTTTTGTAACCTTGTCTCATAGCTTTGGTCCTCCATCCCCTTGAAGGAGAACTATGAGGTGAGTGCTTTTCACTCACCTCATAGTTCTAGCCGACCTGTGAAAATGAAACTGTCACAGGTCGGCTCAGTAGATCGGAAAGTGAGCGAACACATAACGGCGTTCGCTCACTTCTCGATCCTGTCACGGCAGAGAGCCGTGACAGGGGAGGGACTGGATTCCCCCCTCCCTGACTCCCGTTACCCTTCGGAGAACAATGGGGAAAAGCCCTAACCCAATAGTTCTCCTTTAATTAGTATAGTTGCCCTTCTCTGGACTCTTTCCATCTCCAGGACATCCTTTCTGTGTATTGGTGACCAAAATTGGATCACATACTCCAGATGAGGTCGAACCAGCGATCTATAACATGGCAAAATTATAGATTTGTCTCTACAGTACATTGCCTTGACCAATGTGAAAAGGAGCCATTTATCGATACTCTCTGTTCACGTTCCTGTAGCCAGTTCTCTATCCATGTACTCACCATTTTATCTATGCCCATAGACCTCAGCTTGTGTAGTAAGCGCTTATTTGGTACTGTGTTAAATGCTTTCGAAAAATCCAAATATACCACATCCACCGGCCTCCCTCTATCCAGATTTCTACTCACCTCTTCGTAGAATGTCAGTAGGTTGGTCTGGCAGGAACGGTCCTTCCTAAATCCATGTTGATTATCATTTATTATACCATTTTCATGAACAAACTCTACTCTACTAATTCTACCGCATGAATTCAGAGATAATTTGAGGATCTACAGCTGAGTGATACACAAATAGGATACATTTTTCTTAATAGTCAGGGAACGTGAATGCATTTTTATGACTTAACTCAGTCTTAAATTTAGTGTCACTTTAAGTTAAGAAAATGTGTGCCCGGAGTTATTCTTTAAATAAGCCTATTGTGTAGCTGCTGAGGCTGTTTCGAGGATAACCCCAGGACAGCTGTAGGAAGTAACCCAAAGCAAGGTAAAACAGTCTGGGGAAAAAAATCTTCTGAATGTCACTACAGTGTAACCTAACATACTGCCTAGTAACCTCTACTTGCTTGCGTCCATCCTTCATCAGCTTTTTTACTGAAATTACACATCATGGTATCATTTTCAGCTTCTCAGCCAGTGAGAAAAAAGTACAATTATAACTACACAACTGAGACATTCTAAAACATACAATATACTGTACAGCCTACAACAATTTAATCATTCTGAAAATAAAAGAACATGAGACACGGTTTGAACTGTTACAAGAACTAAACAACTAACAATAGTTATATGTATAGAGTAAAAATTGATTCTGTGCCTGTATTCATGTGCTGCACAGGCAGTTGAATAATCTGCTCATAAAATGCTGGATTCGCCGGACCACCATTATACAGCTTACATCCACAGCTTCCCATGTCCCCTGCATATCTACAGTTTTGGCTATTGTTCTGATTAAGAGAATTTTTTTAAGTGAACTAAATGTATGTAGAGCCAAATGCATCAAAGGTCTGTCTGCCTGAACTCAAGCCATGTGTCATTGCTGCATCTTTTAGTAAAATTATTTTTTCTCTATAAGAAACTAATAGTGAGCATCATCAGTCACAAAAAAAATTTTGAAAGTGGAAAATAAATGGCTCCAGTACAGTAAAAGCTAACTACATGCTTGCTTGGATTAATCTACACTCAGACAGACAACATTGGGCACCTTTTGCTGATGAGTACCTTAGTCATATAGTCTGCCCTAGGTATACTTATGCTCTTATGCATGGCTGTGATTGATCACACAATCAACAACTTAGGGATTTTCAGATAAGTACAGATACTTTTTCAGCTCCAAGACTAGACTAAAGAAAAACTCAAACGTTAGGAGGCAGCTGTCATTTTTATCCCCGTTTTAATGTATGATTTGTTATCTATCTATCTATCTATCTATCTATCTATCTATCTATCTATCTATCTATATCTATATACAGACACACACAAATCTCTCCATACCGTGGCAGAAATCGCGAAAATTTGGCAATCATATTGAAAATATGACTGATCATGCCAAAAAACTATCATTTATTTAAGGATAGTGATCATATGAAGCCATTATCACAGAGTTGTTTGGCTCCTTTTTAAATCATAATGATCATAACAGAAATCACCCAAATGGCACTGATCAAAAGTTTACATACCCTGGAATGTTTGGCCTTGTGACACATCTGTGGCTTTTTAAATTGCAATTAGTGTCTGTTTATTGACAATAGTCAATGAGATTGTTAGCTCTCATGTGGATGCACTGGGCAGGCTAGATACTGAGCCATGGAGAGCAGAAAAGAACTGTCAAAAGACCTTCGTAACAAGGTAATGGAACTTTATAAAGATGGAAAAGGATATAAAAAGATATCCAAAGCCTTGAAAATGACAGGCAGTACTGTTCAATCACTTATTAGGAAGTGGAAAATTGGGGGATCTCTTGATACCAAGCCAAGATCAGGTAAATCAAGAAAGATTGCAGCCACAACTGCCAGAAGAATTGTTCGGGACACAAAAGGAAAACCCCACAGGTAACCTCAGGAGAAATACAGGCTGCTCCGGAAAAAGACGGCGTGGTTGTTTCAAAGAGCACAATATGACAAAACCTAGCTGCATGGTCGAGTTGCTAGAAAGGAGCTTTACTGCGCCAATGCCACAAAAAAGAATTTGGGGCCTCATAGACAACTATTACAAAAACATTGCACGCTGCCATTAATGCTAAAGAGGGCAATACAGAGTATTAAGAACTAAGGGCATGCAGACTGGGATCATTTCATGTTTTTTATTTGTTGCCATGTTTTGTTTTATGATAGTGCCATTCTGTTATGATCTACAGTTAAATATAAATCCCATAAGAAATAAAAGAAATATGTGTCTTTCTTTTATTAGTGACACATAGGGGTTGATTTACTAACCTTTTAAACACACCACGAACGTGTATACACCTCTGTAGTGTGTTCCCTCCCAGCATGATCTATGGGAGGAATCAAAACACCTTTGTAGTGTGTACACACCCAGCAGGTGTGTTGTTCAAAGCCCTGCAATGAATTGCAAGGTAATGTGGTGTAAATTAGCTCTATGTTATGTTGCTTGCGTTGATGAATGCAGGAATGTAAATGCATGAGCTAACCATTTTTGTCTAAACTGTGAAGCAGCATTATATATGCATCATGTTCATGATTTTTCCATATATGGCATTAGCGGAAATATGCTTTTAGAGACTTTTTGGTTGATAAATACGTTTTGCTGTGTGAAAATCACACACACCTGGTGTGTGTGTGTGTTTAGGTTAGTAAATCAACCCCATAGTGTCATGTGACCGTTTTTCCAAAACAATACAGACTAATGATTTCAGGACAGTGGTGGAGAGCCGGGCCCAGTGGCAGCTGCAACTTCTGCAACCCTGGTAGTTCTCATGAAGAAGGCCAAGTATCGGCATCGATACAGATACTGGTATCTGGTCATCATAAATATGACATATATTATAATGTGGAAACAAAATTTAGTAAAACATAGCCCGAATTGATAGTAAAAATAAAGGAAACGCTACTTACACATTTAACTGTACAAGTACTTTGTTATGATACTTCTGTACAACAACCCATCTAGTTTCACTTTTTATAAAACAGAACAAAGTACTCAATTAGATGCTAATAGCAACAATCCAACTTTTGATCCAGTTTTCATAAACCAGGATCAATGCCCTTGGTAAAAAGACACAGCACACAGCTTAAACAGGTGTTGCACTAACTGACACAAAACTGTATATTTCTCTCCATAGCCATGTTATCTACAAGGCTGCTTGAAATATTGATTACCTAAATATACTCAACCTCATACCTCAACTTACCAACTGCAGCATCATTGACACGCTTTCCCAGCTGGCATCCCGAATGTTGTCACCTCCATCCACCAATCCTTGGTAACCCTGAAAAAGTTTTGAACAACCATACTTTAAAGCTTCCAGTTTGCAAAGATTAAAATAAAACCATACACACAGTTCCCAAGCCACTGGTATACACACCTCATGTACAAAGTACACTTTGGCACCAGTGTAGATGCCCACTCTCACCACTGCCCGTACAGCTGCATTCATCCCTGGTGAGAAATACAATATGGATTATTTTGACTTTCCAGAGTGATTAAAATGCATGTTTATAGAGCTCAATCAATAAACTGAGAGTTACATGATTGTTTCAAACCAATAGTCAATATAAATACATTTTGGTGATTTATAAGATTTGTCTTTCATGTTTATATTTGTTGCTATTAGCTGCTCTGCATAAATAAAGCCTCTTCAGAAAGAGAGGGGACATCTGGAAAAAAGTAATTTTGAATTCCATTTGTATCACACATATAATCTGTGTCTGTAGCAGTGGTTCCAGTGGATTGGCTTAGAAGCCACAAGCGCCTTTCAGCTAGTGATGAAATAGCTTTATGAAGTGACTCCCAAAAACAAGAAACCAAACCAATGGGTTTTGTATAGCACTTAACCAGTTGCCGTCCGCCCGTAATAGAAAAACGGACGGACGGCACTGTCGCATTCGCGGGTTGCCGTCGCCAGACGGCATTTTTTTTCTGCTCGTGCGCGCCCCCTAGCGGGCAATTAAAATCACAACATCTTCTATCTGATTTTAACAGTTTCAGCATTGTTCTGAGAAATATACACTAGAGTTGTTTTTGATAATGCAATTACTTGAAAAAATCCCTTTTATGTAGTGAGCGCTGCCTTTGTATGCCCATCACATTCATCAACTTCCTGGATCCCCAGTGTGCTTTGTATCTCTTTCCCTGCTACTGCATGTGATGCAATCTTGATTTCTCAAGACTACATATCCCATCATGCATTACATCCAGCAAGCAATGATAATGTTGCATTGTTCAGAAGACAAGCTCTGTGAGTGTTGTGACACAAGGAAGTGCGTATTCACAGGACTGAGTGTTAGTGCATGGAGGAAATACATCCTATGGCAGGGGTGCCCATAAGGTCGATCGCGATCTACCAGTCGATCGCGTAGCGATCACTGGTAGATCGCCATGTCCTCTCCTCCCGCCGCTTCTCTGGATCCCCACTGCTCTCCCCAGCGGGGATCCGAGAAGAAGTGAAGGAACCGGCGGCGGGGGAGGGCGGAGGACAGAGCCGCTGTCACTAACTAATGCAGAGCAGTGAGGAGAGAGAGAGACGCTCGGCCAGGATCTGACAGCCGGCGCCTCTCTCTCCCCTCACTGCTCGTCCGTTCTGTCACAGCGGCTCCACCCCCCCCCCCGCGGCTGAAGTGCTCTTTCACTTCTCGTCGGATCCCCCGCTGCCTCTGCCCGGGAGAGCAGGGGGATCCAGAGAAGTTGCAGCCCCCCTGTGCGTGGACGAGCGGCAGAGGATCGGTACATGTCACTAGTATGTACCAATCCTCTGTGCAGGACAAACACTGGAGCGATCGGCTGATCACTCCAGTGTTTGTAAATAACTGGGGACACATAGTACTATGTGTCCCCAGTTATAAATGAATGAACAGGAGGTGATTTACATCACCTCCTGTTCATTCATAAGTTTCTCAATGGGGAGAAGCACTCTGTACAGAGGCTCCTCCCCATTCAGAAACAGCTTGATAGTAAAATATTTTCTTAATGAATGGGAAGCCTCTGTGCTTTCCATTCATTTAGAATAGAGACTGCAGAAAAAGAGATTGAGGACTTTGTGTCCTCAATTTCTTTTTCTATTTTAAAAGGGAAATATCAGGGGGCTTTTTAGATCCCTAATATTTCCCCGAAGCCCCCCACAAGAGTAAAAAAAAAAAAAATTATGAAAGGGAAAAAAAAATAAAAAAAAATAATTA